TGTCCTCCAATTAACAAACAACATGGAGCTCGCTACATGGCCTTGCTACATAGTAACCATAGTAACCTCTCGGCAATTAACAAACACAGTGCAATTTAGCACATGGTCAAACTGTAAATCAACTTTTTCGAGAATTCAGTATTTATAACGGCAACAATAACATGCATCAAGCTATTTACAAAGAACTAGTTCAAAACTGTGGATGCAAACAATCACAACTGACTCCTTTACGACTTATGACTATAACACAAGCATTAGTTTCCGGATACATGAGAATTGTCTTCAGTTTATGATTGACAGGTTTCATTCACTTTATTATTGCCGGATTGTATACCGTTAGGGACTGGGCATAGAAAGAAAGACCTATATATTCGATGTACAACAGTCCGACTGTGAATGCCTCGAATRAGACGGATTTTGACCCATTTTTCGGACACAATCCTTAAAAYCACTACAAATCTTATTGAAATTTTAGAATATTTGACAAGCTTAACTCTATCACTATTGAACAAATTAACACCAAATTTTGGGGTTTTGTTATTGTCTCAAGAAGTTCTTTCTTTGTGCTACATCAAATTAGAGGATTTTGCCCAGTCTCCCACGGTAAGAAATCCGGGAATACATCTAGTAATGGGAAAATGAGGTACAGTGATTGCAGGGTTATTTTAGCATCCTATTTGAACGAGTTCTCTAGCATGTGTTAACACATACCACTTTTAGGCTATGACATAAATAAGAATAGAAAACTGTCTTAAAGACCAGTGAGATTTGGTCTTTTTTTACGCACCCTTTATATAACGTATAAATGTTAAGTACTATTCTATAATTTGACTTGAATATAAATGATATACTTTGCACCACAAAAGGTTAAATAATCTTACTCGTTTTTTTTGTCGTGTATGTATCTAAATAGCACTAAATGTAGACTTTATTTTGTTATTGGGTGGTCTCTGGCACTAATCAAGACTCGAATATTCGAACATTATTTTTATTACATTTTGTTATATTTCTTTATAATTACTTTTCTAAATATGTTTTCCTAATATCATCGATAATATCATACTGTGTAAGATACTATAAACAGCTGTACCCACCTCATTAATCATTAAAATATCTATCGTTCTGAATATATCCCGGCTTCCTTTGCGCGCTTGCTACAGGAAGTCGACATGAAAAACACCAAACCTATGGTGCACGAGATACTAAAAATACGTTGAACAACACTGATCATTCACAAGATATACACCTAATKACGAAAACGTTGTCCTGAGATTTAAGGATTTAGGAAATTAAGAGTACACTAAAAGACAAAGCATGACCACTGAAGCCGAACACTTTCTTTTGTATTTTAATGCACCATTTTGTATTTTAATTCCTAAATAGTAAAAGTTCTTTTTTCTTGGACAACGTTTGTGTAATTAGGTGTATACTATTGCATAAACCTTTTCTAAAATACAAAATGGTGCATTGTGGTCTAGCTTCAGTACAAACAACACCATATATGGCAGCATGAACAAAAGATGTTTGTACAGAATCTAGACCACAATGCAATGCAAACTAATGTCTCAGWAAAGCCCTATGGTATCGATCGAGTGTAAATGCATGTTTCCGRATGAAATTAGTATCTCATACACCAATCTACAATTCATTAATTTCTTTTTTTTTTCAATATCAATTCATTATGAAATGGACAATGTTTCTCCGATTAAACAAAAAAAAATTTCCCTGATTTTCAAGGGAAAAGTACACCCTTTAAATAATCTATCAAAATCATCATTTCCATAAAATAGAAATCTCATGTTATGCGCATGTGTAACTAAGTTAACTGGAAGTTGATCAAAACAAATCAACACTCCAAACTAAAGCAAATGGCACTAAAAAACAGCAACAAAAATAAATTTTAATTTAAAACAAAAAACAAACAAAAGAAAAAAAACAAAAACAAAAAAAACAACAAAAAACAACAAATTAAAAGATGTAAAAACAAAGAAATTAACGACGCACAACCGTTAAACATACTAAGTGCGAAAAATAAAGAAATGAGCTGAGTTTGTCGAGTGCACTTGAAAATAATGCATATCCTGCTAACAGAGCTCTGTTTTGTTTGACAGGAAGCAAGAAACTAGCTGTTCATAGACCGACTATATGAAGCAGGTTGGAMCGGTTGATCGGGCTGATTTCTTTTGTTTTGTGCGCATAGCACGTTGAATTGGACCAGCTCGCTTTATATAATACAACCCATAGTTTTTGGAATCCGCGGAGGAGCAAAAACTAACGATTTGTTTTCTAAAGATTCCTCTTTTCTYCTCCTTTACTTCTCTGAAAAAAATAGTCTGCTAGCACGACAGCACGAACAAGTCCTACTTTTGACACCTGCCAGAGTGTTTAGACATGGCATCGTTTTAAAGTAATCACGCCAAAAGGCTGATGGAACGGATTTGGTGTATCCGYCATCTTGAATAACGAGAACTTGTTTGCTTACGTACTTAAAGATTTAGTAATAATAATTATGTACCGGTTAACTATCTCGTTCTAATACTATTAATTTATTCTCTATGTATATCGGTTAAATATTCTATTTTTAATACATCAGTAAATAAGTACTCAAATTTTTAGTTTCTTCACATATCTGATTCAATCAGCTAGCTTGTAGCTGAAAATTGAAAATAATTCTAAATATTAATCTCTACGATTATTTCTACATTTAGCGCGAAAAGCAACTATCAATTAATTAAGCGGCTATTTTCAAACACAAACCGTCTAAATAACGTTTCTTTCTATAAACTACTATTTCAAATCAGTCGAAGTCTTCCAGAGACTGAAACACTGAAATACTTGATTATACATATGTACATAATTCATCCTATACAAGCTCTAATAGAAAATATTAGACAAAAAATCATTAAAATAGAATATCTAGATCAAATTTATAAGCAAAATATATATTATCACTTTTCAATCACTTCAAAATATAGAATCATTCTTGRAAAAAAAACATATAGTTTGACTACTTTGAACAAAATTAAACCTTTTCTTCGAAAATAGTTTCCGCAGAAAAATCCGCGAAAGTACACGGACAATCATTTAAGACTGTCCCTGAATGCTTCGGTCTTTACTTATTTTCGACAATAAACAAAGTGTTTTAAAGACATTGTGTCTCTTTTTAAGGGACATAAGCAAAAGCTCGAAAGGGATGCCGGTAGAACATGGCCCTTTAAAAGGCAATGATCCTAAGATAATCATTCCGCTATGTCTCAAAGAAAAGGTCTATTAGCTCSTTTATAGTGAAAATCGCTAACGAAGGGCGTAATACTCAGACCTCGCGACCAGCCCTACCCTTCCATACAAAGTATTCTTAATGTTCTGGAGTAAAATGACTGTAATTTTGTCTCCCAGAAACAGTAAATATCTATATGGCATCTGGAGGTAATAATTAGACTCTACCTTTGCTCTTTTATAGGGTCGTCATGTTGATAGAATACGTCATCCAATGACGAGTTTTTCTCTGTTTCACTATTCTTCAACCTTTTTTTTGAAGGTGAAATTTCTATGTAATCAAGAGCTAAAAAAATCTTTGAGTTACTTGTTAAATAGTTATATACTCTATATCGGTCATTTATAGGAACGCATAACAAATATTTGTAAAGCACCCTATGAATAAATAGAACTATTGGAGAAATTCTCTTGTCATTTTATAGAAAAATAATTTTTATGTTTGATAMTAACATTCATTTTCTCAGTAAATTACTTAAAGCGGCTTTCATTTTAGTCTGGTCAACCAGAATCGCTTCCCTACGAGTGAAAGCAGCACACCGGCGGGGATATCAATTTAAGCGTTTCTGATCTCGCTTCCGACTGAAGTGAAAACCATCCTTTATATTATCTGCCAGAATTAGTCGATAACTATGGCATTTCTGGCGTTTGGGTTGCCTGTTGACAGGGTTAGTCTAAAGGCCGAATTAGACGGCAAAAGTCTTGCCTACAGCCTTTGCATAAAGCCTGTGTAAGTCATCCTTACAACATGGCTACAACAGGTTGTAGGGCTAGTAAGCAATCAGTTTTAATCCCTGCAACAGTTGTAGTAATGTTGTTAGGATGTCTTACGCAGGTCGCATGTGATGATTGTAGGAATAAGTTGTGCCATCTAATACGGCCTTCAGAGACTGGGTCTGACATTGTCCTTTTGTTCCGCAACAATGCCACAGGTAACCCATATCTCCTTTGCATTSGTAAACAAAGGGAATGGACGGGAGTTTCCCGCTATTCACATATCGCTTGCGTCCTCGGCACGTGACCGTTTGATATCATTCACCTGGTAACACATGACATCTATCCGTGATAATTGTACAAAATAGTAAATAGCAAGCTGATAATTCAGGTAGTCCCGACCCGATGACACAATTTTTGCATCCAAACTGTTTTACGATTACAGTTGTTGTGTACACACGAGTTGTCCAAAAAAACAGGAGCCCGGTTGGGAAACGCTTGGACATGAATACGTATTAGTGTAAAAATTTGAGGATGTCAAAATTTTCGGAATCGGTGATAACTAGATCCTATCAGGTGCTACAAACATGGTTAGAGGTTTTTCACGGATACATGGCATGAAATGCAAACATGCAGTACTTTGTTTACATACCAGGTATGCGATCATTCAAGTGTTTATAAATTATCATCATTTTTGCGTTAGATACAGCGAAAAAGGGTAGAATGATATTCARCTATTTCAGAAAATGTTGAATACTTGAGACAGTGTATTCCACCATAACGTTGCATCGCCGTTCAAAAGGGATTTTGTGGTTTCAGAGTGACAATACCAGGGCCATACAGKTAAGAACTTCAATGGAAAGCATCCATCTTGCGCCATCTTGAAAGGTAGCCGTGCCTTTCCATCGAAGCGAGACAACCGTTGAGCGTGCAACGATWGATACCTGTGAATAATTGTCTATAGGTGTGAAAGAAGGTTTCTATCATTGCACGCTCAACGGTCGTYTCGCTTCGATGCAAAGGCACGGCTACCTTTCAAGAGGGCGCAGGGAACCGTGAAGAAGACTATTCTTGTCACTTTGTAAATCAGCAAGCATGGAGTTAAAAAACACCAATGCATTTCGGTCTTGGGTGCAGTATACAGTACCTAACGTTTTCTGAAAAAGGCTGTATATTCAATTGCAAAATGGTTGTTATCTCTCTAATACAAACTATTGCAGGAAGTTGTGTATAACGTGTACAATAGCAGCAGTGCTCTTYAGATTCTATAAAAAACATTACATAGCCTACCACTGACGCAATTCACAATAATCAACGGCTTCCAAATCCACCGCTGTTCACGTAAGTCCCAGAYTCCCCATGGCTGGACGTAGCTGTGGAAACCTGAGAACTCTTTGGTATATTAGAATGTATTGATTGCTGCCATGGATCTGAGCATTGTCTCAGTCCTGAGGAACTTGTGTCCTGTAATTGTGTTTGCTCGAGAGGCGAATGCCATGGTTTGGATGCAGGCATCTGAGGGGCCCAGTAGTCTGGTGGTGATCGCATTCCGTTCCCGACAGGGGAGGAGTAGCGTCTTGGATTGCGCTGCTGGAAGTTYTGGTTCATACGGATCCCTGTTGAATTCTGACGGGGCCAGCCTTCATATGGATTTGGTCTGCAACGAAAAACAGTGAAAGACTTATATTAGCTGTAGTATTAGCTAAAAAGGGTTCTCTACAACAGACTGTACATCAGACATCAGCTCTCTAATGATTGAGAAGGTCACATAGACAAAACATGTATCATTGAAAGTCTTGGTCTTTTAGTGTGTCAAAAGGGATAGTTTTTACAAACAAAAACATGAAGCATGAAGTTTACAAACACTTTATTGATCAAAATTAAGAAAATTCCTAGAAAGAAGCTCTCGAAGTGGTCATGGTCAATCTCTCATTTTAATCTTACCCAAAATTTTGCATTTGTTTATAATCGTCTGGATTTCTTGGTACGCGTTTTCTATCAAATTGCGGGTTTTGCTTGTCCAACCCGTCCACGCCTTCCTCTGATGATCCACTTAATGAAGAGCTTGATCGCGGCGATGAGTAACTGTTGCTTGAGTTGTGCCTTCCAGACGAGGACGAGTTGAAAATGTTGTCAGTTGGRGTTGACCAGTTCTGAGGAGAATTYCCTCCACGTTTCCACTCATTTCCATCCAGAGAGAGATGACGGCCTAATTTTCCTTGAAAATTTTGCTGCAAATTCAAAGCAGAAGATAATATGGCATCAACGTCTTCAACACATCGATCATGTCCTTGGATGCCCCAGTGAATACGATCCCTTCCCTTCCTATGCCTCAATATTTCTGAAACTACCAATAATTACTATTTATATTAWARCTATCATAGTACGYGCTCTCTGATTGGTCAAATGTTATASTTTATTTCACCGGTAAACGCACGAATGCGAAAATGCTCTCTGATATTGAGAAAACCCTCAAAAGGCTGAAAATCTCTCGCCCCTCTTTACCTGCTGATATGGCCATTGTGATTTACCAGTTGCTTGTCCCTCAAGCCCATGTTTGGAATGAGGCGTGCCAGGCTTTTTTCCTGGTTCAGATACAGCATACAAGGGAAACCTGGGGGGCACATTCCCCTGTAGCAGGCTTTCGTTGATGTACTGCGGGGCGTTATTTCCGTATAGACGAGATGGATTATGGAAGGATGGCGATGGAGAAGGAGTCAGTGGAGAGGGTGGGGGRTTYTCCAGGAGAGGTGATGGGGGAACAGGCGAGGTTGATCCATCTTTGCCGGTTCGTTGCTGGAGATAAAAGATGTGTTCTCGGTATTTGTAGACCTGTTAACAAGACAAAATGRTCTTTGAGGCAATAGCCTATGACGCTGACAGTTTTGTAAGATGAAATACCATTTGTATTATCACGACTAACAATAATAGGTTACAATGTTTCAGTTTTACCATTGCGACAACATCGCCAGCATCGCCAGGTAAATGAAATGACAATCAAATTCAAATCGATAGTTATTTCATATTATTTGCCTGAGCTGACATGATGACAACAAAACGATGTTCACTATTATCGCTAGTCTTTGTAAATTGTTTACAAAAATCAAACTTTATAAAAAAAGAGTGTTGTGATTATCACTATAGTGACAATGATTACTTCTGATCGCCTGGCTAGCAATACTTCATTTCACAGTTACTGGAAAAAATCGCGCGCTTTAAAGGTTGTAAATTTGATGTAAATCATTGCCATTAAATCTACATAATTTTAGTCACTTACATCATATCTACAGTCAAATTTACAACCTTTAAAGCGCGCGATTTTTTCCAGTGAGTTTCCTACGTCATCTTGAAAATTAACCGAGTTTTTGCATCAATGTGAAACAATGATAGCTAATTGTAAACTGCTTTGGGCGTGAACAAAAGCTATTTATCCCTTGAGGCTCAACTCATGACACATTAATACTAAGACTTGGTTGGGAACTATAAAACGAAGTATCCTTAGCTTGTCAAATGGCTCATATTGCTCGCTGCCGTCTCCTTCTTTGCCTGTTTACAGTGTCGCGATACATGCGCTTCTATTCGAAAAACTCTACATAAACACTTTATTTATTTAATAAGGTAACCTGTTCTTGAAGCGATGAAATTCTCGATTGCAAGGAATCCAAATCACGTCGGAGTTTTTCTTTGATTGAAAGAAGTCTCTCCTTTTCTTTGCGCTCATTCAGTAACTCTTCACGGTATGCCTCGTTCTGTCAAGATAAAATAAAAAAAAAMMWWAAAAAACATACGTCGGCTACCAAGCAGGTTGTCGAGGTGAACGGTAAATGACAGAGTTGTGAAAYAGACATTATATTCTACTCTCGACTGAATATAAATTATTTTCAAACTAAATTACATTCATAAGAACAGTATACAGGAATTGGCATCTCTTCATTGGTTATGTTGCTATTGACACTGACCTATATTTTCATATTTTTTAAATCTTTACGTACTCGTGTTTTAGAGACACATGTACCTTCGATGACTGATGACTGATTTCACACATATTATATACCTCCCGCTCCTATCCACCTTTTCACATCATCACGCTTGTATTCATTACATATCGTTAGAAAATACATATATACAATCACTGGGGAACTGTAATTAAGCAATTCGATCTCGAAGATTTATTGGTCAGCTAAAATATGGTAGTGCATAAAACTGATCATTTTAAAGTAATCTCTGGTGAGAAGCTTCAAAAAACATATAAATGTTTGATTTCCCCCTTCCATATAATTATTTTAAATTTTCCAAAATCTTTGGGGCACGTGCCTAATCCCCCTTTCCGCTGTGCCCCCACCCCCTCCATCCCTAGGCTAGTGTTGAGGATATTTAGTTTTTTTGTTCTTCATGAAGAGGACACGTATATTACACTGCAATTTCTTTTAATTCAGTTGTATTGGCTCAACTTCTTTTTCAATACTACACATTTACTACTATTTCTATCGCTACAAAGACCATACCTGTCTTTGAAGGGCAATGAACTGTTCAATCGATGGCAGACCATTTTCTTGGAAATGCTGCTTCAACCTCTTAAAGTCGTCAACTTGGTCGTCCTGATTGCACTGAAACCGCAGCAATTCTTCGTTCTTTATCTGGAAGAAATTTTGATTTGAATTTTCGATTTACGGTACGGCACCTCGAAGCCGAAACACTGGGAAAAATCGCGCACTTCAAAAGGTTGTAAATTTGATGTAAATATTACAATCTTTAAAGTGCACGATTTTTTCCAGAAGTCGTTTCCAGCCGTTGYAGAGAGGTTGGACCAACACTCCCTGTCCTGAAATAATAAATARGGCGATATTGCTCCCTTTGCAGACTTTAATATTGACATTGACTGGGAAAGCTGAACATCCTCTATCAAGAATGAGAGCAACCAGGGGCCTTCACTTACACTAATGTTCTCATGTAGTTTTTAGTTTTAAAAACTCTTCGAACTATTTTACGCGGTTAATGTCAACATTACCTGCATGGATTTCATAGTTTTGGACAGATTCTCCAGTTGTTGTCGTAGTGCCTTCTGCTCGTTAATGGACACGAGTTTTTCTGTTCTCTCTCTTTCAATTTGCATCAATATATTGTCATATTCCCTGGTCCTGCCATGCTCACCAGACTGGTATTCAAGTATCAGGTTGAGGTATTGTTTGTTTTCTTGTTCAATTTTCTCAATGTGCATTCGTTGTATGTTGTCCTGTTTGCTGTACTGGTCTGTCAAATAGTCCAAATCTTCGCGCAACTGAAATAAAGAGATATAACGATAAATTTAGCAAGTAAAATAGGAAATGCACAATGACACCATTTAGAACAAATCACCATGTGAAAAATACAATCCTAGAATTTTACTTGAAAAATTACAARTACCTACAATTCACTTATCATTTTGATAAACACAACAGAATCGATCCATGCCCCCCCTGCCCCCTTTTAATATGTCGCGTCCATTTTCATCTTATGATTATTACTTAGTATGATCGCATTAAGCAACATTGTAGATGGGGGAGGGGAGACTAGGAAGGGAGGGTAAGTCGCGAATTGATGGCACTGTCATAACAAGAATAGACARGAAATCAAGCTGATGTAACAAAGTGTGAAGACTGTCATGCTTTTCAAGAMCATTGCCTTTTATGTAATTTTTGGCGCCAATTTCGGGTGACTGTGCGCATGCGTGCTTCGATGTACTGATGGCGGAAAAGCTTTGACAGAGCAAGAAAAGGTGAAACTTTTAGTAATTAGCTCATCACAGTGTACTGATAAAACATTACAAGTTATTTCTTTAACATTATTCATTTGGATCAAAATCGCCGGAAAAACCATTTAATCGAAGGACCAAGTTAGCTAAGCTTGCTCCTTCACTTTTGAACTTACTTTCACTTTTTCTTCGGTTACATCTTTCAGCTTCTCTTTTACTTCTTGCAGTTCGTTTTCAACAGCCTCCAAGTCTTCTTTCGGYACTTGTTTTGCTAGGGTTCTCTCGTAATTTTCATTTTCCTTTTCTGTTTGATTGCTTTCGGTTTTCTTTTCTGAAAGTTCGCTTTGCTTTTGAGCCACAAAATTCCTTTCTTCTGCACTCTGAACGCTGTTCGATCTTTGGTTTTCCATATTTTCTTCTGTCATAATATCTGATATATCGGATTCTGTAAAGTTTGCTGTCATAAAAGTGTCTAGTAGGATGTGCAAACTGCCTTTTGCATCAAGTCCTTGTTGCAATACCAGTCTTCTGTTGCTGAATATCAATTTTCCAATCTGCTTCTTTAAATCATCTATTCCTGTTTTGAACAAAAATGYCATTGAAAACAGTATTTTTAGGATAATGGGGGAAAAAGGAAAAGAAGAACATGTTCAAGTGGCAGATTACAAACAGGGGTAGCTACGAAAAATTTATCACATGGATAGATTCAGGTCAGCGCCAGAAAATGAAATTTTGATAAGATAACCCCTTGTTTACTTGTATTTTTAGATTGCTTTTCATCATTTTAACCTTCTTCTTCTATTTATCTATATACCATAATTAATTTCTTATTCTATATTTTCAATGTCCCAAAAAGGGGGGTTGGGGTGGGGGAGGGGGGGGGACTCTGGCTAGTTATCCTGACTACTCCCCTCTCCTCGGTCAGTCTCTGAATGCACTATACTAGAAGRGAATTTATAATCATAAGCAACATGTATAATGATTACTATTGGTCAAGGATGATAAATTGTAAGGGTTGGAGTATAGCTTGAAAAAAGGGACGCTAGACTGAAACAGGTAGCATCYTAAGATGTTTATATCATTCTTCACAAAACAGTATATTTGAACTGTATTCTTTTTCCCACATGTGCTTTATTCATTCTCTCTTTCATTTTCTTCATCATAAATGCCTGCTCATACCAAATAAAATTCTCCTCTAAAAATATTTTTGTATCCATCAGATAAGGAGTTTTAATGTGATGGAAGGMAATATTCAAAATACAACATCAGAGACATTTTTGAGGTTAAAACCAAATCATGCAACATATTTGCTGCAGCCCTCAAATGACCAAAAAGATATCTTTTTGAGTTATTGCCCCATGCTGCCTCGGTTTTAAAAGTGCAAAACCACTGGTTTATCACGCAACTTGCTTTCTAACTGCAAAAAGGGCCAATCAACATGTGTGGAGGCTTTCTGACTTGTATGCAGTTGAATTTTTTACCCTAACTTAAAATTTTCATTCCAAAAATTTGTTGGAAAAACAGGGGATGAGGAGCAACAGAATAGAAAACAAAAGGAATAAATATATTTGAGACAAATTTTACCGAGCAGAGCTGAATACAACTTCAGTTGCATTAGTTTGCCAACTTACCTTCAAACCATATATCTGAGTATTTTGCCTGATCTTCTTCAATGTAGTCCACTGTCTTTAAAAGCTCATCATTTGAATGTGTAAGAGATTTTATTAGGTCTTCAAAGTCACCATGACAATACTATGAAACATAAAAATCCAAYTATCACTTGCATAATATTATAAGCAATAAGCTTTATAATTGCAATTCTTGCAGCACATCCATATGAAGTTAGCTATTACTATAGACAACAGGTCTTATTAGAGCAATCAATGGGAAGCAATCATTTAAATTTTATCTTAAACCAAATTGAAAACAGTGGTTTAAAACAGTATTTGACTTCCACTTTGAGACCTTTAAATTTTGTGTCACCTTTTTAGTCATCACTTATGTTTTCATACATTCACAATCATTCTACCTATATGTTCCCCATAAATTACTTGACTAAATATATTTGTGAAACTCTATAGTGCATCAAGGTCAACAGCAAATACTTTCAAGCAACAAAATTCTTTTCATAGCACCAAATATAGAAATATATTTATCATAAAAACTTTATAGTGATCTTAAGATTTCAAGATGACAATTATAAAAAAATTGGATGTAATTGACTTTCAAAATATCAAATACTAATAATTGTAATTAACATTAGTTGATAATGTATCAGGAACTTAAAACACATTGCTCTGCTCTGACAAATCAAAATAACCACATCACATGATGTAATCAAAGCATAATGTCAGTAATCATACAGCTATATGCACCAAAAGTCTAACTTGAAATGGAACATAATATCACTCATTTGCTAGTATTTTTAATGAAAWMCYTWRAAWKRAWTTWAAAAAAWAAWWAAAWWAAAATAGTTCTGAAAAAGTGCAAAGTCATGCTACATGAGTGAGACTCATGAGAACGAAACGTAATATTTTATTATATTTTGAATGGTGTATGTTTTTGTGTTTTCCTAATTAGGACAGTGTAAAAACTTTAGCTTTGCTGCTGGCTTTAGAATAATAATATATCAATAAATAGATACTAATAGATAATAGATTCTAAAACGTAATAGGTTACAGTGATCATCATAAGACAAATGTCAGATATTGATTTGAACGCATTGGTAAAGCGAAAGTATCATGTACATCCAAATAAAAATAGTCTTTGATTAACAAAAAAAAAAACAACTTTCATTTACTGATTGATGATTAACTCTTGACTGAACCACATTAGGTAAGGTAAATTGACAATCTTAACAATTTTACTAAGGTAAGGTACCTGTTCCTCCTTCCTTTTAGCCTGGGGAAAACCATTGATTCAGAGGTGCAAAACCTTCTGAGTTCATTATGAGGGAAGACCAATTACTCAAACGCGTAATATAAGATATATATTTCAATTTCAATTTGTAAAATGTGACATGCAGAGGGCTAAATATACTATTTAAAGAACTATTGATAATATACACCATTATTAAAGGTCAAAGAACCTAAAATATGTACATTAACTGTAATGCACTAACACCAGGCATTGCATTGCAAAACATATAAGATGCAATTCATATATTTAAATCAGTGAAAGTTAATGTTCTGCTGTGACTACATCCAGTATCATTTATTAACGAGGAACCTTTTTTTAAAATAGCGCCGAAGTGTAACGAAATGCACAAAAAAATGTTCAAATCTCTCTGAAGATCAAAATACCTAGCACATATTGACATGAATTAGAAGCAAATGCGTATGATATTAAACGAAAGAAAGTAATGTAGCAAATTCTATTTCAAACCCATGTTGTGTATTTCGAAATGCAACACGTCAATGTTCGTGTGACATTCAATCTCTTTGGTGAGATTAATTTGATTAGAGTTGTTTAGAAGCGTTAATTAATTGACTGTTTTGTAGAYGAATGCACGCATATTATTGCATCGTATTTATACAACAATGTACTAACAGTTTGAAATAAAAGATCGACTTATTTATAGGTATTAGATCAACGGCGTTATTAGTTGTGAAACGACATCAGGGTGTTGTTATCTGTCTGGGTCTTGCATGACTGATCATGGATGTTCACGAAACCGTCGACATATCACATACAATCATGACAAATTAAACTTCATATATGGCAAATACCATCGTACAGCTCCCCCCTTAATACAAACTGAACAATAAATGCAACTGCCGTAAATCTTTKCCATCGTGTTAATTGTATTTCATGGTCGAGTGAGCGACACGGTCCTGCACGCGAACAACATGAACATTTAACAATCTTTCAATATTCGCCGCGAGAAGATATAYATTAAATGAACACTTGATGCTCATTTAGACCTCATGATGTTTTTAAGTAAAGCGGTTCAATCCTTACGTATCTACAAGAGCACAATATGCAAACAATAAACACTTTAGACCGACTTTGAGCGAATTTCACCCTAAACGAGAAAACAACTCCTCAAATGCTGTATGCATGACAATCTTTCTTTGAAGAGGAGGTTTTGGCTTTTTTTCTGAGATATATGCATGCTTTCAGTGTCCCGGAGGTGAGGTTCCCGGATATTTTGCATTATTGTATTAACACCAGACAGTGTACAACGTCTTTATAGCAATTGAACGCCAAAACACCAATCGTTTACTTTTAAACCACTCACCATATAAAAGTTTTCTTTCAAGCAGAACAAACCAAGTTACAATTAAGTGAGTACCAAAGGAAATCAACCGCAAATGGCTTTACTCAAGCACAGGACCGATGGATTTAAGACCGACAGAGCTCTCTGGGTCTAGCTAGTGCAGCTCAAAAGGTTCACACCAGAAAAACGCAGAATATTAATTAAGTAAATAAAAAGATCAAACTTACATGACTAGTCCTGTAGCAATAAAACCACGTGGTCTCCGATATTCAAAAGCAAAGGATGTAGTGTTCAGACGTTTATATAGCACGAAAACCACTAGGGCGCCTACTTTTTGCTGCGGTGGTCAAGTTTCAAGGCCGTTCAAACATTCCGTGTCATTACATCAAAAAAATCTCAGTTGGGGCCTGCGCCCTGCTACCAGGGAGTCTCTGTATACATTCCTGTATGGGTCTAGAATTACATRCACTGCATAAGCAAAAAAATTCTCACCAGCAAGGTAACTTACGTACCTCCTTTCCCAAAGTATCTTCGCTCCATGATTTCATAGCATGATTCYCGCTCACTGGGAAAGTTGCCATTGTTTCCCAATGTAAATTTTGTCTTTCAACGTTCAAGTTTCTTGAAGATAGGGKTTCCCTTCCAGTCGTTTCGCTGTTGTGTTGGTTTGACTGACCAGTCATTTGCTTCGCGTGTTCTTTTGTCACTGCGAAGTCTGAACAGACTTTCTCTCCATTGACACAAGAAGATATGGAATCATTTCGTCGCAATGTCACAAGTAACGAGTGTCGCTGGTGTAACAGTTTGAATAGTGCGTAGTATTCATCTTCATTGAGGTCATCAAATTCAAACGAGTTATCTTTTCCTCCTAGCTCACACTCAAAAAAGTCAGTACCATCGTTCTCCGAAGGACACCACCGAACTAGATTCGGCGCATCCATCTTAATGATATCTTTCTCGCATCTTTTTAGGTTCTTTACCTTTCGACATGGAAATGGCGGTCACGGATCGCTGCCAACATTTCCCCCATAATTTTTCTCGTCAAGTGACCGGGTTTTTTGTTCCCTCGTATTATCTTCCCTGATTTTTGTTATACATCGTGACCTATGTGACAGACCGGAAATGAAACGGGTACATCTGAAAGCGAGAGCATCTATTCTGTGGTAGTCCGCTGACAACCGGAAGTAAAATGTATAACTTWTATATTTCTCTTTTCTGAGGAAAAAACAAATCTTCCTTGATATTTTGGAACCTTTATATGTGCTTACATATACGTCCATTCGATTTATTATATTTTTAACCGTTGATTGTTTCCTGMGATTCTACATCTATTTCCGCATTTATTTTTCAAGCATCAATTCAATGATCAGTCCCTTGCATTCGTTTGTTCATTAATTTACCTCGGGTAGCGTCTCTTGATTAGCAAAATAGACACACGTAAAATATATAAATATTCAAATTTTCTTTATTTCATTTTTCYTGAGAAGCGAGGAACTGGACTCTAGCTGCGCAGTTATTGTTGAAAACCATCTGTTATGAGCACAACAGTCCGTAGGACAGCTGGAGTTCTCTCCACTTTGCTAGTTTACAATGAATATTTAAACTTTTTCTTGTAATTACTGGGAGAGTTGGTTATCGCGATCGCCTTCCGCAGTCTTGTTCCTTTCACAGTATGGCTCGAATTCTGCATGTGTTGTTTATCGCTACACTTGGAATCTTGTACTTGTACTSTACACACGTGCAAGGAACTCTATCAAAAACCAACAAGCAAAAAAAGACAAAGGTGAAAAAGGTACAGAATGATATCCGTGTTAGGGTAGGCCTTTGTGTGTCTAGTCAATATTTATTACCCGACTGAACAACATAACATTCATTTTTCTTAGGAAACTACACACCACTAACAAGTTTCTATGTTATTATAATATTATGCTTACAAAAACAGTTTGTGTTTTTAAATCATAACAGATGGCTTATGATAGTATCCCATGAATTACCGAGACATTATGATCTCATTCGTTGGGCTAGTTTCACACCAAACTGTATTGTACATTATTTCACTGACAGCATTAATCAATCCTCTTTGTGTTACAYGTAGACGGGACCTGTTGGTCGATAGTTTTTATCATGTATAAATTGATTATAATTGTAACTCGCGATCGAACTTGAATACATTTATAATATGTCATTATAAAGAAAAATAATGTTGATTGACATTATCATCCTGATTTTTGTTAAAGAAGTCAAAAGAATTTATTAAAGAATTTATTTAACAATATTCACTTGCTTGGGAATTATATGACTATGCATGGGATTTGTAATGTTGAAATTTAGAGGACTCTTCAGAATAATTCAARCAATTATAAATTTTAACCATTGCTGTACTTATCAATATCCCTGCCAATATTTCTTGTGCACTTGCATTTCTGTCATGCTAATTTGCTCTTGCTTGTCAAAAATGTCACATGATAAATTTATGCAAGCTAGCTTTTTAATTATTTATTTCTAACTTAATTCATACAATTTTACACTGTCGTGATGAAGTTTCTGTGAAGGGGAGGGGCTAAGTGACWCATACACCTAAGTACATTGGATAAGACCCTGGGAAGAACTGTTCTCTTTATGCATATGGTCAAAAACCATTTTAGTTTGGGCATTGTAGCTTAGTGTCAACTGCATGAACCTGGTGATCAATTGCCTGAAACATCGGTGGCACTTAGAAACCTTTAGAAACCATTAGCAACAGAATAGCTGATTTTAAAGTGTTTGGAAGAGATAAGGCAACTAGCGTCAAAGACACTCATTGTRATTGCTTCTTGCAGTTATGATAACATGATAAGTTGTATATATATTGTGCTTTGTTCAGGGTGGTCCATCAGATTTGAATGTGACTGCAAGAGGGTTAATCTCTGAGACGCCTCGCATCAGGGATATCATAAAACAGCATAATATTTATTGCAAGAATGTTACAGCTCACAACTTTGAAGGAGACATATTGGCTTATATAACACCAGTAAGTCTACATCAATTTGTTGAACATATTTTAGTGTAGAAATGCCTGTCTACCAGACTCCATAGATTGATTACTTAGCTGACTGTGGAGGACTGGGTCACACATMTAAGACAAGCACACATAGAGGAATTAATGCACCCCAATGCGTCAGTCATCATGAGAATTAAAGTTTTCTTGTCCAAAGCTATGAAGAGGCTCAGTGACATTGCATGTTTTGCATACATGCCAACAACAGCATTGTCATATAGTACTAATTAAGCAATTTTGTCTTATTTTAGTGGAATTCYCATGGGTATGATGTAGCTAAAATATTTGGTGGCAAATTTACATATGTCAGTCCTGTCTGGCTACAGATTGTCAGAAGGTATTTAATACTGCATGCAGTGCAACTACATGGGGTAGGTGGTCTTCGCCTCTCTTGGCATGATTTCTCTGATTGGCTGTGCTGTTCTTAAAAGAACAATGGCACTTTTTGTCTTTTGTTTTCTTCTTTTGTTTTGAACAAGCCTATTGGATTACATATTCCAAGAGGTGAAAACCAACCCACTACATGTAAATGTACATTAGCCTGATTTTCAGACGGGGCCTGGGTCCTACGCTGCGGAGAGAAGCGTAGGACCCAGGACCCGTCTGAAAATCAGGCTACATGTACATCGGCAACTCTTAATCATGACTGGAAAATCTACTAAACTAGCACATTTTAATAGTTAACATAACAAATACACACTGACATATATACATGCCAATGAAGTCAATATCAGATGTATTGATTTTCTTGCATTAATGCATCCACATCCACCCAGTCATCTCATCAATTGTCCAATATCTTGTCTTATAATCATAAATTGAAGTTTTTGTATTAAGCAGAACTGTTCTTCTGCAATCAATCTTGGGATATCAACTGATCGAACATTTGAAGATAAAATCTGTATCTCTGCTTGCGACTGAAAAAATATGCCTCATGTAATAAATAAATCATACAAATCTCAAATTAATATCATGTTTACAAGTTGTTATTTAACAGCATTTTTGTTATCAATGATAAGGAGATCAGGAACTCTTGCAGTTGAAGGTGGCCATGATATTGATCAAGGTATGATGAACACTATTATGTGATTTTACAATCAATTATGTGACGATCTATAGCTGGTATAGACTCCTTTCTTTCAAGTCTATTAAGGCTATCACTGCTTTGTCAAAAAGGAAGCTATAACTCATACGTTATATGGAAATTGAAATAATTTTATTATTTTTCGTTCAGGTTGGATAGCAGATGTACGGAAAGCCAATAGTAAAGTGAAGATATGTAAGTATGATTTGTAATGAGGGAACTTTTGCAAAAGAGATTTACAAACATTGTACAACATATATTTCATGTAGTTCACCTTAACGGGATTGGCAGAATCCCCCCCATATTTCATTCTTATAACTAAGCCACCTAATAAAATAGTGAAGCACAGATAATTCAATGTTRCACTTAATTTCGATGACATCACAGTTCACATGATGTGACTTCATTTAAAGTCCTCCGGATAAGCTTCCCTCCCCTCCTCCCCACGAGACAATGAGACAGGAATTACATTGAATGTTTTCAGACACATTGTCCCAGCCAATATTAGCAAACATGTGAAGCTTTCAGTCTTTCAGGCTCTATGAAAATATTACTTTTGAAATGAATATAACCTTAAAAGGTGTGGCAAATGTCTGACACTCGTATATATGTTATAGCGCAGTGATAATATAGTTGTCATCCTGCCTAATAGCTGTGTTCTTTGATTAGTACCTAGGTTCCTGTTTGATAARTGGTCCTACAATGACTTTCATGTGGTCCTCACAACTGAATCCATCCTCTCTAATCTGGTGGATACAATCCTGGGATTTGTAAAGGTGGCATATATTATGTAATTTTKCTTGCTTTCTTTTTGTTATTGTGTTTGTTCATTTCCCATAGAATGCAAATAGCATCATCGTCATACAATATTTAAGGAATATAAAATGGTGTGTGTGTCTCTGTCCTTTGATGATATAAACACRGTGGGAGTTCGAAAATTTTGCCAGTAAGCTGTGTCTCTGTCCTCTGATATAAACACRGTCRTCAGCCAATCAGAGTGCGCRTTATATATCAAAAATTTTATAATATGCTTGTTCATCCTCTGTCTCCTAGTATATACAGTTGCGTTATACCAATAGTTCTGTTTATGTATATTGTATTTATTCATCCTGATATCATTTCTTTATTTTCCTTTGCAGGCCAATAATTTTGATGGTGTTGTACTGGAAGTATGGAGTCAGTACAATGGAGACACAAAGCAGTAGGTTCTTCAACCCATTTAATATATAGGYCATTGATGTAAAWTRATGAGTTATAAAATCATCTGCAATRAGGATGCATTACCAAGGGCTTTGCCTAATGCACAATAGAGCATTCTGTTAACCTGGTTTGCACAAGAAATGGCTATATCAGTAATTAATGTTACTTTACAGGAACCTTTATCTTCTTGTAAGCAAACTTGCTGATGCTCTACATGAGGCAAAATTTAAGATGATTTTAGTGATTCCGCCGGCAGTCTATAATTCTGGGTAGGTAAAACATCTATTCTTGCATCATTCATTCACAAGACTGCGTAGCCAGGCGTTCCTAGCCGCTCCTACAGAATTTGTGCCGCAGAAACCCTGAAGGGAAGCGGAGCAGCTATGAATGCCTGGCTACGCAGGCTATTCATTCACCAACCAACCCAAGCGTTCTTGTTTATTTGCTTATTCAGTTTTTCATTCATTCATTGTTTCACTTATTTATTGATTGTTTCTCTCTCATTTTAGTTCATCAGGTCGTTCTGACCCATCTCGAAAAGTACTTTTTTTCTTGATTATTGTTATTCATTTCTTTGTTGTTTTCAGATCTTTATCACAGGATTCGTTTGGGAAAAATGATTTTGAAATCTTGGCCCCAGTCCTTGATGGTTTTAGTCTTATGACGTATGACTTCTCGTCGCCATCAAGGCCTGGGCCTAACTCTCCTCTCTCTTGGGTCAAAGAGTGTGTTTTGGCACTATGCCCTGAGCCAAGCAAACTTCGATCGAAAATAATGATGGGATTGAATTTCTATGGATTTGATTATTCACATACGGGGTCATCAGGTTTGTACAATTATCGTCATTTAATCACATTATCCCAGGACAGTAGCCAAAGGTGTCAGGTTGATGCCAGAACAGCGTTTACCCCAACAGCTATTTTCCCTTAAAAAAAAACTTTTTGATGGCGCAACAGTTTAAACTAGTTAGTGTAAACTTTCGAGGTTTTGTAAATAACAGTGCATATCGTAACATAACCAAAAACTTATCATCCCTTTATGCTCTATTAATGAAGATATTGTAAGATTCGCATACCGACAAATAGAAACGTATTGCGAATGAATATTGAAGTCACCTCATTTCTCATATATGAAAACTCTCTAAGAAACGGTTGCATTGAATACTGGTGGGTCATAATAATTTTTGTTCATAGAAGGAAAACCAGTATGATTTAGCACTCAGTATATATGCACGATACCCATGAACCAACATATTTTATATTCTCGATATATTGTTAACAATACGGATTGTTTGCTAATTATGTTTTTTTGTTTCATTCCCTAACAGCCATTATCAATAACAGGTATTACAATCARCAGACACTTTGTCAAAATGGCCTCCGCTCATTAGCATAAATTCTTTTCAACTAATTACAAAATAAACCCAGAAATACTAAAAAATATGCTTCTCTTAGAGTGAGCGCACTTAATGCGTGCAACTGTACAAACCAAATRCTGATGTTTAGATGTATTTAGTAAATCGTGCATGCGATACGCAAATTAAACTGAATTGATACAAATTGTGAAGCATTCAATACCGTCTTGCTTCAGGACCACTTGTAGTACAAATTAGAACTACTTAGATTTTGTACAGTTGCACGGATTAAGTGCGTTCACTCTMGACGCTATGTAAAATCCTTGTAAGTCCTAATAACAACCAGCAGAAATACGGAAAGTTTTTCAGAGAAAAAATTATGTCGGGGGAAAAAGCCATACCCCAACCGTAACCTTCAAGTYAAAAATTTTTGATCTCTATGGAATTTCAAGGCAACCTACTGAGCTTTTGTAGAACTTTTATGTTAAGTAAGGTTTGCTGTTTTCTTTTTGTTTTGGGTCGAAAACAAGGATTTTGCTATTGAGCAGCGGCCATTGTGGCAAAGGGTCTATTGGAAACGATTGTCCAATGTTACCGCTCATTATCCAATATAAAAAAATATAGTTATTTCTTGTTGTTTTTTTGTTTGTTTTGATAGATTTTTTAGTTTTGAAGTTTTCTTCATTTATTGTTTTCTTCACTTATTATTCAGATACATTGAGCTGCTTAAAAAGTACAAAGATGAAAAACTTCATTGGGAATCAGCACCCGCAGAACATTCTTTCAAATACAAGTAAGTTGTAAACCTTGCTGTAACAAGTGATTTGTCTAATCTTTATGTTGTCATTCCATTTCGTTAGCTGTTTTGATATTACAATAATGATTATGCAATAATCAAGGTGATGGTGACGGCATCCATGTCTACAAAGTGCTGATGACTTTGATGGCAATGGTCATGCATGGTTGTGTTATGATTCTAATGTATTTATCAAGGTTATGATCAATATATTCACTGGCAGCTAGAAGAAATTTGTGGTGATAGCGGAAATGTCAGAGACGATATTCTTGATGAGGATGATGACTGTGATGTTAAGGCCCACTCCACACGAGTCCAGAGACTTTGTGTCCGCAAATGTTTTGATACCTTGCCTCCACACATATATGTGATCCACATACGCAGCGTCTAAAAATATTATTGTATAAGCTCTCTAGAGCTAAGACGGCGTAGTGGCTCAGGCCATACAGATCTGATATTTCTCCAGACATATGCGCTTGTATCTTACGCATGCTCTGTTGACTTATCCTTCGAGAAATCCGGGTTCGCATGGTTTACGTTTTGTATCCGTGTAAAAAGTAWTAAAAAAACGGAAAGAAAGATCTCTGGACCCGTGTGGACGGTGCCTAAAATCTAATGATGTTTAATATGGATTTATGGTTTGAATGAAAAAATATATGGAAAACAATTTCCTTAGGCGCTACGCTACTTGTTAGAGATGAGAGTCATGTATGTATAAGAACGTAGAAGCTGTACACCAAAGTATTAACATATTCTCAAACGTCGTCTTTCTTTCTGTCTGTAGTGCTGGGGGTACAAGACATGTTGTTTTCTATCCGACATTGAAGGTATGAAATCATTATTGACCTTGCCGAGGGCGTGTTCTCTCATCATAAGAATCGTATATGTATAGGTAATAGCACGATTTGTAGTGGTATTTGGGATAAATACCACGCGTGATATTTCAAAATTGTCAAACAAAATTTCACGAGCGAAGCGAGTAAAATTTGTGCCAATTTTGAAATATCACAAGACGTAGTGGTATTTATCCCAAAATCCACGTACAAAAACATGCTATTATTTGTTTWTAAAATGGTTGAATAAAATTGTGCAATTTGAAATACCACTATTAAGGATAAATATCACTCCTCTAAGTCAATCAAATTGCGCAATTTATTCAATCATATTTTAAACTGCTAGATACCATTTCTAAAAGAGATACTTCAAAGAGGTTTTATCCAAATATAAATGTTTAATTACCCGGGGACTTGCTCATATTTTAGTCCTGGGATGATTAAAAAGTAACAAAAGATACCAGTCTTATACKATCATCCCCGCCCTTTGGGAGTCGCCCCAGTCTCAAAACAACCMAATAAAGTAAAATATCATCCTCCGGTTATTTTGATTTTTGCTAGTTCTTCTTGACGGATGACGTTGATAAATCAAGATTTCTCGCTTGACCAGCCAGCTGTCAAAAATGGCGGAACGCGAGCRTAGACTGACCAGCTTTGCCGTATGCATAGTATCTCTAGGAATCTCTGCGGTAGATGACAGTTGTTTATTCATTTATTTGTTTTACATCCCATAGTCTATTAAAGTACGTTTGGACCTTGCTAAAGAGCTTGGTGTCAGTCTTTCTATATGGGAAATTGGACAAGGATTGGACTACTTTTACGATCTTCTATAATCCTAGCTAACTACAAGAGACAATGTTTTAGATTGTATTTATTATATGCACAATTATTGGAAAACTCAGTAACATCCTAGGTTCTCTTTTGCGCCTCACCGTCAAAATTAGACGAGGTGGCCTGGGATCGTGGTGTTATTTGATTGGCCCAAATGAAAACAGGCGAGAACAGTCTTTCTTTTCCAGGTTACTTCCTTTGTTCTTCCATTCGCCCTATGACACGAAATCCGAAGATTTCCTGGATTCCGAAATCCAGAATTTCGCGAGGATTCTGGAACCATCATGTTGGTTGTAGAATGTAAAGCATTCTAGCTTTCTTTGTAGCCAGTCACTCGTTTACAATTACAAAACATTTAAAGTTCTGACTTCCTCTCCCGTTTCCATTGCTATGTATTCCGGATTCCAAATATCTGTATTTCGGATTCCAGACAAACATTTTGTCGGATTCCCCGGGATTCTGGATTGCCTRTTTGCATTTTGTTTGGGCCCAAATAACGGCTTGAGTATTTCCTATCAATTTATCACAGAAAATAAATTATATCACTAAAAGTATACAGATCTCCTCTATTCTTACTCACCAATTATATTAGTTTGCCATCTTTGCAACCAATAAAAATTGTTTCAGATAATGATTTTAGTTTTTATTGCTTGAATAAAATATTTTGATGATAAATCATTTTTTTCAGGATCGATACGATTTATGATAGCGGAGCACCATAGCTAAGAAAAAATATCCATCGAGTCAGTTTTTCATCGACCGACATAGGGTACCCCCGCGTACGTTTGCTCCGTCCGTCTGTACTTCCTTCCGTCCCTGCACCACCACAGGAAACCCATACTCCGCGATAAAGTACGAAAAAACCGTCAAAATCTTTGTTCAAACATCAATTTTTTTCCTCAAACATTTATCATCCAAATCGATAATAATAGAAAAATTATTCACAAGCAAAAAAAAAAAAAAAAAAAAAGAAAAAAAAAAAAAAAAAACAGGACAGCGCATTCAAAGCACAGAAATATTCCCGCTAATTTTGTACAATTTGGAATTTATATATTTTATCTTGAAGAATTTCGAAGTGATCCTGATTTAGTCTGGCTCTCCCGTGATGAGTTTTGAGGAGGAATATAGATAGAACAAATAAAAATATCAGATCTTAAGCTAAAAACGTTTTAATCTAATTTCCTTCAAATAAAATTTCACAACTATCTTCCGGGAAAGATTTTACACCTTTTCGGTTTAACTACAACAGATACCTCCAGTTTTTTCCAGCATTTTTGGGTATGAAGACACTCATTCAGACAAAATTAATCCGCAATAACGCGCTTGGCTCTCTCTCTTTCGCATACATAAGGTGATTTTGTGCCCACACACGGGGTATCATTCCATTTCAGTCCTGGACGCTTATCTGCTACATAAATAGCACCACAATATTCTGCATTATTCTGATTATTTGGTTCACCGGCGATCCAGTTAACGTACTGACCAATCGGCCTACCGTCAACCCAGTGGAATTTCCCTTGCTTTTTGCCTGTCAATTCCTCTGTCGAACAAACAACCAATACCAAGGTATGAATGAAAGAGTGAAAAAATGAATGAATGGTTAAGAAAAAGAATACATGAACAAACGAATAAATGAACAAGATCACGTACCAGCAATCATCCCAATCAATGTGTTATGAATAGTCGGAAAATACGTTTGGGAGAGCAATGCCACAAAGTTGTTCTCTTGTTCTGAAGAAATCGTTACAAGGTCGCCACCATCGGCCAGACATGCCTTACGGGCTGTGTACCAGCTGTTGGCTAATTGTGGCTTCTTGTAGCAAGATGGAGATCCTGCGTAGGTGGTCCAACCGGTAGGGCATGGCACTATTGAGAAATCAACAAAACGTTGAACAAAATTTTAAGTATTAACGATGAAAACTTTTCTATCCATGAAGTTTTTTATGAACAAATAAAGCTCAAAAAATTCTTATCTGACATCATATAAAATGAATCAAGGCTTGCAAGAATCGCAGAAATCGAGCGAATCAGATTATGAACCCGTGAATACTGCACCGTACTACACTTTATCAAGAGAAGCCGACGGGGTCTGTTCTTCGCTAAATAACTGTTCTTGTACTAATTTTTTCCTGGGAATGGGATTTTGAGCTACATTATTGACAATCTCACAAGCAAATGTGGCGCCCTTCCTTATTTAAAATAGTTTTGTTCCTGGCAAACGTTTTTAAGGTCAAAAAAGGCATTTATAAACTTTTTATGGTCAAAAACGGCTATATGTTTTTAGTTAGGACATTTTTATTTTCCTGGAAAAAATTCTTTGAGAGTATTTCCTGGAGAGTTCTTCTTTCCTGAATTTCTCGCTGGCAACCAGTTGTGACTTACAGCTGGCCGGGACATAAGAACAGATATGTTTCTCCCAGGAACCCGTCAGCTCCTTCTACTTTATTAATATTGCACGTTTTTCTTTCTCATTTTGGTGAATCAGATTTGACTCTTATCCCGGGGGGGGGGGGGGGGGGGGCACTCGACCCCGTTTTGGATAGGTACGTGCCGCCAGCGGTCTAAATCCCTGACCCTGTTTAAGACACTAAAAAAGTAAAAAT